TTGCTGGAATGTCTGCTGAAGTGTCTTTCAGACGAGGATGAACATGTGCGCCGCTCAGCTAGCTTTGCCGTTGGGAATGCGGCCTACCACGCTGGACTCTTCCTGCAGGTCCTTAGCAAAGCTGTCCCCGGTGTTGTCCGGCTCCTGGGCGATCCTATAGCTAAGACACGTTGCAACGCTGCTTCAGCACTGGGAAACTTGGGCCGGCAGTCAGTGGAGCTGGGCGACTTGCTGATCCAGAGCAGAGCCCCTGATCTTCTGTTGGACGTGGCCTGCCATGACTCCCAGCCAGCTGTGCAGAAGGCAGCACTCATTGCCCTCCGGTCCATTGGCCAGCAGCCCAGGATCCACGAGGTACTGGCTATGTGCAGGGGGGGTGGGGGTGGGAGCACTGTGGACTGTCAGCCGGCTGGGAAACGGACCTGTTAAGCCACCAGTCAAGTAATCTTGTTGTGGTTTTTAATTAACTGGTTCCAGTAGCCCAGTGCATGTTGTGGGGCATATTGCCTGACTTCCTGCAATGTCTGTTAGCGACTGTGAATCCTATGGATCTGGAGAACCAGCTTTTGCGATGGGACTGAAATGAAAAATTACATTGATAGAATTGAATCCACCAAAAGAGTGGCTTTTTCTCTGCTCTTTGTCAGATCTGTCCTCACAGAGGAGGGAGAGCTTGTACCTGAAGGCGGGCCAGGGGAGGGGGGGCTCTGCAACTTACCTGGCTGCTTCTTGCTCCTCGTGGCTCAACTGAGGGCTGCTGGGAGCACGGGCCAGGGCTTGTTGCATGGGCCCGCCCCCTGGGCTCCTCACTGCCGGAGCTCCGCTCCTGTGCACTCCTGCAGGAAATGACCCCTGGTGATAATGTTTCCCACAGTTTATTCACTAATTCTGTACTTTCTCCCCTTTTAGGTCTGCATTCACTATCTTCCCTTCTTGGACACAGAGCTGCCATTGAGCCTTTTGTGCCACTTAGTGCTGACTGACGAGAGACTCATTGAGCAAGTGATGCGGATGGCTGCCTCTGAGCATGCTGTTGCCTTCTTGTCCGCCGTTTTGCTCTCTGACCAGGTAGCCCTCATTGTAGACCTGCTCTCGTGGCTCACACACGTAGCCCGTGCTGGTGCAACTCATCTGCCTTTCCTACAGCAGTTCCTGTGTGGCTGTGACACGGCCCCTCAGCCACTAAGCCGTCTTTTGTGTCACCGGGAGCACTTAGTCCGTGCCAGAGCCTGTAGCCTTGTGGGCAACCTGTTGCGTCACGGACAGGACTTTCCTCAGGTGCTGCAGGGCCAGGCTGGGTTGCTGGAATGTCTGCTGCAGTGTCTTTCAGATGAGGATGAACATGTGCGCCGCTCAGCTAGCTTTGCCGTTGGGAATGCAGCCTACCACGCTGGACTCTTCCTGCAGGCCCTTAGCAAAGCTGTCCCCGGGGTTGTCCGGCTCCTGGGCGATCCTGTAGCTAAGACACGTTGCAATGCTGCTTCAGCACTGGGAAACTTGGGCCGGCAGTCAGTGGAGCTGGGCGACTTGCTGATCCAGAGCAGAGCCCCTGATCTTCTGTTGGACGTGGCCTGCCATGACTCCCAGCCAGCTGTGCAGAAGGCAGCACTCATTGCCCTCCGGTCCATTGGCCAGCAGCCCAGGATCCACGAGGTACTGGCTATGTGCAGGGGGGGTGGGGGTGGGAGCACTGTGGACTGTCAGCCGGCTGGGAAACGGACCTGCTGAGCCACCAGTCAAGTAATCTTGTTGTGGTTTTTAATTAACTGGTTCCAGTAGCCCAGTGCATGTTGTGGGGCATATTGCCTGACTTCCTGCAATGTCTGTTAGCGACTGTGAATCCTATGGATCTGGAGAACCAGCTTTTGCGATGGGACTGAAATGAAAAATTACACTGATAGAATTGAATCCACCAAAAGAGTGGCTTTTTCTCTGCTCTTTGTCCTGAAACTTCGAAGGATTCGGAGAGCCTCCCAAGCAGAACACACCACAGAACGGAGTGGAGGTGCAGTGAAATGAGGGAATACAGTAGAAGAAGAGGAGTTGGATTTTGTACCCCGCCCTTCACTCAGAGTCTCAGAGCAGCTTACAATCTTTTCCCCTTCCCCTGCCCACAACAGATGCCCTGTGAGGTAGGTGGGGCTGAGAGAGCTCTGAGAGAACTGCTCTTGAGAGAACAGCTCTGAGAGAATTGTGACTGACGCAACGTCACCCAGCTGGCTGCATGTGGAGGACTGGGGAATCAAACCTGGCTCTCTAGATTAGAGTCCACCACTCTTAACCACGACACCAAACTGATGTAGTCTCTTTTTCCCTCTTCCACTGTCACAAGCCATGAGCAGAAGAGGGGAAAAGAGAATTTTTACCTGATTCCACCTTGATACTAAGGAGCTGCAGTGGCTCAAGTGGTTAAGACGCTGAACTGCAGGCTGTGGAAGGTCAGTAGTTCAGCAGTTCGAGACCCGAGTTGCCGCATGACGGAGTGAGCTCCCATCTCTAGTTCCAGCTCCTGCCAATCTAGCAGTTCGAAAGCAAGAAATTGCAGGTAGATAAATAGGTACCACTTCGGTGGGAAGGGAACAGCGTTCCGTGCGCCTCGGTGTTTAGTCATGCCGGCCACATGACCACGGAAATGTCTTCAGACAGCGCTGGCTCTTCGGCTTTGAAACAGAGATGAGCACCGCAACCCTAGAGTCGGATTCGACTGTCTTTCGAGCAAGGGAACCTTTAACTTTCCCATAGTGGGTTTTGCTTGGCAGGCTTTCTTAATCCTCAGAGAGGAGTTTCAGGAAAAATTGTGGGCTGCTTGGAAAAGGCAGGGCAGGATTCAGTCCTGTAACACCTTCTGTAAACTCTTCTGGAGGATTCACCCGTTGGTTTTTGATGAAAATCTAAGGAACTTCTGCTGCCTTTGATAACTATTATATGATCTTATTGAAGGAAGAAAACATCAGGGGAATTAACTCCCCAACAGAAGCTATATGGGTGGAAGTACTGGGCCCTAAGGGTTACTTAAAAGTGGGGGTGTACTATCACCTACCTGACCAAACCCTTGAGGCTGATCTTGAGATGGAGAAGGAAATAAGGGAGGTGACTCAAACAGATAACATTATTATAATGGGAGACTTCAACTACCCTCACACATTGACCAGGTAAACATGTGCTTGAGTCATGGTGTGGAAATGAGATTCCTATACATCTTAAATAACTGCACTGGAACACAGAGCCAAACAAAGGGGTAGTGATCTTGGGATTGGTTTTGAGAGGGTCTCAAGACCTGGTGAGAGATGTAGAGGTTCTTACGCCAGTTGGGAACAATGACCACAATGCTATTCAGTTCAGCCTTTAGGTCAATGGAAAGTTACCTCTAAAATCCAAAACTTATAGCATTTGATTTCAAAAGAGGAAAATGAAGGGAATAGTAAACAAGAAGCTGAAGGGAAAACACAAGAGTGTCAAATCTCTAGAGCAGGGGTGGCCAGACTTGCTTAACATAACAGCCACGTAGAATAAACGTCAGATGTTTGAGAGCCACAAGATATGAACAAATATCACACACATTTTATTGAGAAATATGCAAATTTGCTTTTTATTAACATTAAATTAGACTGTGAAAGAGCAGCACTTTTTATTAACATTAAATTAGACTGTGAAATTAGACTGTGTGGCTCCCGAGTTGCAGTTTGGCCACCCCTTCTCTTGAGGATGCTTGGAAGCTATTTAAAACCACAGTAATTTGAAGGCCAAACAGAATGCATTTCACAGGTTAGGAAAGCCACTGCCAAGTCTAAACGAATGCCTGCATGGATAACAACACTCGTCAAGGAAGCTATAAAAAGTAAAGAGGCTTCTTTTAAAAAGTGGGAGATCTGCCCTAATGAATTGAACAAGAGAGACCTAGGCTCCGGCAAAAGAAACGTAAGTCCATAATTAGGCAGGCAAAGAGAAATTTTGAGAAGGGGATTGCTAAAAGCATAAAGACAAACAATAAACATTTTAAAAAATATATCTGGAGCAGGAAACCAGCCGGAGAAGTGGTGGGGGGCCTTTGGATGACAAAGGCATAAAGGGATTGCTAAAGGAAGATGGGGAGTTGGCAGAGCAGCTCAGTGACCTTTTTGTTTCTTTGTTCACTGTGGAAAGTGTGTTGGATGTACCTATGCCACAACCCCTATTTTCAAAAAAGGAGTCTGAAGAACTGAGCCAAATTGAGGTGACCAAAGATGAAGTTCTAGACCTATTGGGGAAATGTATTACTTGACACATTTTACCTCAGAACAGCAAGCTGTTTAGAATGTTAGAGGCAAAAGCCATGTTTAGAATGTTGGAGGCAGGACTCAGGCAAAGCAGCCAGTGGATAGGGAGACCCTCTGAATGACAGATCAGAGAGCGAACTGATTTTGGAGTGTGTGGAATGTTCTAGAGAAGTGCCACCACCATTCGGCTTTTATTTATAAGGGAGACGCATGGGGTGGATACTAGAACTCGAGGGCATCCAGTGAAGCTGATTGACAGTAAGTTCAGGGTGGACAAAAAGAAATACTACTTTATACACAGAGTGATTAAAATGTGGAACGTGCTGCCAGAGGATGTAGTGATGGCCACAGGAATAAACAACTTTAAAAGGCAATTAGATTCACAGAGGATATGTCTATCAATAGCTACTAGCCATGGTGACTGTGGGGAGCCTCCAAATTCAGAGTCACTAAACCTCTGAATCCCAGAGCCAGCAGGCAACAGCAAGGGAGGGCCTCAGCCCCCTGTTGGCCACCCAGAGGAACTGGTTGACCACTGTATGAGACAGGATGGTGGACTAGATGGACTGTTGGTCTGATCCACAAGGGCTCTTATGTGAGACCCTGGAAAACAGTTGGAGGAGCTACATCTCTCATCCTACCCCCTATTAAACACCGTAAGGGTAGGAGCCACCCGCCACCCCCAACTTGACTAGTAGTCATGGATTTGCCTGCAGTCCCATGATGGGCTTCCAACCAGCATGAAGTGCCATAGGGCAGGCATGCCTCACATAAGATATAACTAAGCTTGTTATAGGACATCTAACAATTTCCCTTTCTAGTTATAAGATTGATACAAAGAAGAGTGCCAATTGTCAAGGAACTGGGTTACATTAAATAAAGTCCACAAACAACCAGGATACTACAAAGCTTTCTCTCCAGTATTCAGCTTGTATTTTCTAGTTATTACGTAGTTTTGATGAGCATATTGATTACATGAAGGTGCCAAATTGGTCCACTATGTAATCTTCAGAATCTGCTTTCCAGGTGCTGGTATCACTCAGAGCAAGTGAGAAGCTGGAAGTGCTTTCCTATGATGAGTCTCAAGCTACTGCTTTTAGCAGCTGTCTTCCTTCATCATCAAAACACTGCAAAGAATTGATCCACCTCCTGCAGCCCACATATAGTGCCTGAGAACTGAACTGGCCTTTCACGTGCTTGAATGCAATGGGAGTGCAATCGCTTTAACTGGTGTTAGAAGAAGCCATCGTAGAGATATTCGCAAACTGTCCCACTGCTTCTAAATGGAGGCACTCCAGTTCTTCATTGAGAATAAGTGAACCCATCCTAGAAGCCTTCTCAGATCAACAGGCCATGTATGAATCCTACCCTGTGTCTTCTCCCCATTATGAATCAGCCAGAAGCATGGGTAAGTTAGATTCTTACCTAAGTAGGGAGGGCAATGCTTTCGTCCATCTCTGTGACAATTCTTCTCGTGGCTTTGGTGAGTTTGCTTCTTGGAATAGGAGAATGCTCATCCTTTCACCTTGAGTAAGGCAGGTGGGCAACTAGCAAACATCTCTGCTCCAAAGTGGGGGGAGAGAAATGAGGGCAGCCTTCCTTTGCTTGCTTCAAGCTTTGCAGGGGGCAGAGGTGAGGAGGGTGCTTTGTGTCTCGTTCCCCTGATGCATGCTCCCATGCCATCTCTGTTGTCTGTGGACCAAAGGTTTCAGCTGCTGACAATGACCCTACTAGGACTCCAGCCTGGCTTGTTTGCTTTTATATTTACTACTTCACATTTGTATTAAAAGCAGATTTTTCAGAAATGTGCCTGCTTGTCTGTGTACCCTAAAAGGTGTTTGAGACAGCCAGAATAATGCTGATTTCTGATCAAAAATAAATATTGTATAGAAAGAAACAGTAGATTACATAATTTAAATACTTTGTTACGAAAATATCAGTCAGAGCAAAAGGGGTTAAGAGTCTTTTCCCACAGGATCGAGGTTAGGGCTGTCCCAGACAAAGAACTGGAGTAGTGCTCTGTTCACAAGCTTTACCCAAGTCCCTTTCTGATTTCAAAGTGATAAATAGTAATTTCCCATCCACTTTAGTCTCCACCAGTAATATTTTGCTTGTTGAACCAAAAGCCAGTACCACCAGGTTTCTCTTTGAGCTGTGTTATATCAATCTAGTCTGTTACCTTAGGTCACTTGGGCAATCCAAAAGCTCCAGTAGCATCTGCTGATTCAGACACACGATGCATACTATTGCTTTACTCATTCTGATTGCAGAGCAATATCAATACGGATGAACAACATCACGTGTATCTCATAGCATTTGGACTGCTGCCCCACAATTCACAGGGCTGAGTTTCTGGAATATTAGGTGTAAGGACAAACAGGTGATAAAACTCTTTGAAACAGAGAGGAGGGTCTCTTTTGTACTGACTCCATCTCGGGAGAAGGTCTTCTACCTGAGCTCCTACTGAAGGCAGCAGTTGCCATTTGGGGACTGCAAGATACTGGGAACCTTTTGGAACTACTGTAACGTTTGACTCCGTGAAAGTGCAGTAGGCTGTCCCCATAATAACCAGGTGTTGGGTAGTGGGAGAGACAGGTGCGAGGCAAGACCTTAGAATGGCAAACAGAAGGGAAGCCGGGAGCCCTGATGGTGGCAGTAGGTGAACCGAAAGAGGGAGAGCAAAAGCCCTCGGAGGGTAAAATGGAACAGGACCTCCAGGTCAGCCGGGCCATTCCACAAGATGTAAAGACGACAGCCGTGGGTTTGGCATGTTGGACTGCATGAGACAGACATTCCTTTGGGCATTACTACTGGCCTTCAACATCCTGCCTCGACAATCTCCCGTCCACCCAGTCTGCTGGTCACCCCATTGCTCGATCCAAGGCAGTAACAATGTGCCTTTAGTAATCCCATATTTTGTGTGGGAAATGCGCCACCCCTCTTGTTGGAGCCGGACACGGCTTTGAGAGAAAGCACAGCTCAACCCATTTAGGAGGCTGATCTATACAAGAGATAAGGCACAAGATAACTGCAGTGAGTTGTTTTTGTTTCATGTAAGGCAAACAGTGTGCAAACGGTCATGAAAGGGATTCCTGGTTATAATCAACTGAAGATCTAAACTTTTTTCCTATTTGAAGTAGGACCCTTTCCCTAAAACCTGGAATATCACAAAACGGAAAACAAGAACATAAGCAAACAAGAGCACGGATAAGAGCCAGAATGGCCCCTCCTCAACTACCTTCAGTCATTCAACAGGGCTGGGGAAGAACTTAGCATTCGTATCTTTTTAAGGGCCTTAAGCTTTATGTTGGCAAAAAGCTTAAAAGCAGGTAAACAACATCAGAGGCCACCGTCAGGGCACCAGTGCCTCCACCTAGCTCCTTAGCCCTCCAGAAGGGAGAATAGCTGATGCAACATAGGCACGAATATGTAGAACGGCTCAACGTGCATAATTTATATGTATCACCAAATTCAGTTTCTCTGGGTTACTGTGCTGCAAGATTTTATTTTGTGAGCACAGAATACAATCCCACAAACATCCTTATTTTCCTTACAGGAAGGAAGAGTGCTGCCAGCAACCATGGTTCACTCCAAATTTCATTTTAAAAGATTTAAGGCAAGAAATGGATAGCCCCACCTCCCCGACACACCCAGGACAATTAGCACTGAGGCAGGTGGAGGAACTGCTGACCCAAGAGAGCCTTTTGGGTGCTGTGATCACCACCACCAGAAGCACAGAGACTGCAGCAGGCGTGGCAAGCTCCAACATCCGGCAGGCTCCCCGCCCTTAGCAGTCCTTGCATTCGCATGCCCACCCATCCAGAAAGGAGAGGGGCTAAACTGTATGTTCCCAACTTAGTGGCAGCTGGGCAAAAAATTAAAGTGGCAGGGCAAAGTTGTTGAATTCAGTGATGGGCCATCTATGCCTCTGGGGGCCCTAGCCAGCATCTGATTTGCTGAGCCAAGTTAGAGCAGATGGAGGCGGAGGCACTGCTGCTAGCAGAGCCTAGTTTCCCCAGGTCCCAGTTTACTAGTTCATCTCGTTAGTATTCCTTCATACAAAAAGATGCACAGGAAACTCACGGTCATGGAGGATTCTACCCTAGTGTCCTTTACCTGTGAATTCTACCATGCAAGGTCCTCCATCTTTCAATCTTGTACTACAAACCACTGCTGTGTGAGAGAACTAGGTCCAAGAATGGGCAGAAGGTACAACCAGACACTCCTATGGTACTCCTGTCTTCTGCTCACGTCTGTTGTTCACTGCTGGCAATTATAGTCGGCAACATTCACCCACCCAGGAACAGCTTAGCTGTTGTGTATTTAAATGAAATACAGCCCAGGAGAAAGAATAAGTAGGGCAACCTCCTCTAAGGTTGCAGACACACTGCCAGATTTTGACATATTGTGGCATCATTTGGGGAAGCAAAGAAGCAAGCTGGGGCTTCTGGGAGTCAGGCTAAGAAGTAAAGAGTTATTACATTTCACCCATTGGTCACATCTTTAAACTTTATTATTAAAAAGACTACAGTTTGTTTTTAAATATATAGCCATAGAATAAACACTGCTACACAGTTCCAAGCCCTCCACCTTTCCTGGGTGACATCAGCCACTCCCCAGCCTTTCACAGCAGCAGGTGGCTTTCATGGAACAGCGTGGCACCCCTGCCCAAGAAAGGGAGGAGGCTTGGAGCTCCAGTGAGAAACACCAACATACAACATGCCTCCTGCGCCAGAAAGGGAGAGCAAGGGCTTCCGGTTACTGGGGGGCAGTGTGTGAAATTTGTGCTTAGGACACATCACAAAGGCAGGCGAGCTCCATGCTGGGCCATGAGGCTGCCTGTTCCCAAAGTGCAGACACTAAGAGAAAGCTGTTCTTAACAGCTACCCGCCCCCGTCATTTGAAGGGGCGGGGGGAGGACAGGAGATACAACAAAGAAAGAGAACACTGGCCAGCAGAACAGCCCTGTTAACAGACTTCCAGAAATGTATTGCCCATTCATGAAAAAAGCCCTGCACAGGAAGCCATCAGATACAAAGCAGGAGGACACTGAATGTCTCAGCAATCAATGCATCCCCCTGAAGCAGATGAAAGGCCGGAACTGGAGTCTCCCAAATGTGTCTGGAATCATTTCAGCAGCCATCATGCTGAGAGGCAGCACCTTCACCTTGGTGAAAGAACCCCTGGAAGGGCAGGAAACCAGGAAACCTAAGCTGCAGTCACTCTGATGAGAATGTGTCAGACAGCAAGGATCACACCAGCTCTGTGACGTGACTCTGACATGCTTTAAACCATGCGGCCATCTTCCACTCTACTCTGAAGTCCCTGGAAAACTAATAAAAAGGTGACTGGTTTCAGAGAACATAACAGCACCTAGCCAGATGGGAACTGTCAGAGGCCGATTCTGGCCTTGCACTGCACCTATTAAGATGCACACGGAGGAGGAGAGGAAACTCTGCTTCTACAACAAACAGCGCTAACTTTGTCATTCAAAGTCAACCTTTGAAAAGTATTTAAAATCCAGTGTTTAAAAATGTACACTGCAAAGCTGCAGCAAGAGCCCCTCTCAACAAGCACTTCAAGAGGCAGTGAACACCGGGTACATCAGTGCACACTCCAGCTCCCCCCCCCCTCCCCACGCAATGGCTATGCTGCTCCCATTAGTAAAAGCGATCCTTGGCTTTTGCCAGTTAAAATGCTGAGAGAAATGAAGCTCCTTAGAGTTTCAAAATGAAAGCTAGCAGGACAAACCAAGCTAAAGAATTTTCTCTCGTTGCAGGGAGACAAGGGCTCTTCCCAAACTGCTCCACTCCTTGAGGCAAGACTTGACTGCTGGATACAGCACAGGGCAGGACTGGCTCAGCCAGGTGTTTAAAAAGTGAAAACAAAGACAGTATAGAGCCATTTTACAATTAAAGTGCAGCAGCGAGGTGGGGGAAGGGGGCACTTGCAGACTAAATTAATCTGTATTTTCCTGAGTGCATCAAGAGACTTGGCCAGACTGACTCAAAGCTCATGACAGGCAGGAACAGACTACACAATCCAGCTTGTGTCACAGTTCAACTACTACACGGAGGAAACGAGGTTGGGGAGCATAAAACGATTAAATGAAGCTGGGATTAGTGCTTGGAGTCTGCAGAAGCAGCTTGTTGCTTTGTTGAGGGCAGGGAGAGGGAGCCCAGTTGTGCCCCCTTCATAAACTCCCAACAAAAGTGCTCTGCATGGCATCAGCTGCTTCCCTTCCTCTACAAAGTTTCTGGCTCTGAGAAACATCCCAAACCTGTTTCTCCACCCCACCTAGTCTCTATCCGTGTTCAAAAAACACAATTCCCCCCCAAAAAAAGTTCTTTACATTTTAAAACCTTCCCAACCCCCGTAACTATTGAATAAAACTGCTTTACTTCCTACTGGTTGTGCAGGGATGTGCAGCGGGTACATTTAGTTGAGAATGCAGCGTGCAGGGGGGGAAAACCAGAGGACCAAGAGACGAAGACAACTGCAGTAGCAAACCAAAAGACTGCATCATCACTAGGAAGCTTGGGCTGGACATAGAGCCCTGATGGGAAGGCCAACATTAGGAGGAGGACTCACTGTTCCAGACGTAACACTGTGGATGTGGATGGTTCACCACCCCCAGTCAGTACTGATCAAACTCTTCTGGGCATCCATCCATCCATCCTTCCAGCTACAGAAAACCAGTAATGCGGCAGGACCTAGGAGCTGGACAAGGATTCCTCTTCAGGAGGGCTAAAGGACTGACCTGGAGCACCTGCCTCTCCAGCCAGGCCTAGCTCTGCATCCATCTGCTCCAGCTCCCTCTGATCAAGCAGCTCGAAGTCGTCAGCTTCCTCCTCTTCCTCCGGCAGAGAGGCTGCCCCCCCCACCTCCTCGCTTTCAGACAACTGGGCCTGGAAGCTCAGTCTCTCTTCCGGCTCAGTGGGCAGGAACTCAGACAGAGAAGGCCCCTCGCTGTCCTCAGAGGAGCGGAGCAGAGCTGACAAGGTGTTCTGCACCACTGTGCTGATGGCGGTGGTAACTATCTCTTGGCTCAGCGAATCAATGTGTAGCCCCAGGCCCTGTGCAGAGACTGTCTGGGGCTCTGTAGCTCCTCCCACCATCGCCTGCCTATTTCCATTGAAGTGTGTATTTACAAAGTGCAGGGGTGAGGCCAGGCACAGGATAGAGGTGTCCGAACTCCCAACTGCTGCCACTTCTTCCTCGGCAGAGTCCAACTGATCGGCAGCTTGGGCAGGCACGGCAAAGCTGTCTTCCTCACTAGGTGGCTGCAAGTCTCTGGAATGGAATTCTTCCACAGAAGGGAACTCTGCCAGATCCTTGGAGAAGGACTCTTCTGGCTCGCTGGGCAGGCTCTGCTGATCCAGATCTGGAAAGCACACCAGAAGTTAGCACGGAAACAACCTTCAATACCCACGAAGGTCCTCTTCGGATGCCCCCCATGCACGCACACCATAATCTCATTGTAGTTTATCTCTGTCTTTCATTATACTTTAACATAAAGAAATTGGGCTCCTTACTTTTCCTTACCCTCTTCTGAAGACCCTGCAAGATGAAGCTTTCCCCAAAACCAATCACTGTATGCTACAAACCACACTCCCAGACTGAAATCACTAAGCACACTGATGACCCTCCTGCAGCCTGGTTTACTAGCTCTGCCATCCTCAGCAGGACACCGCTACCAACTCTATCTCATGTGTCATCATGTGGTGTAGCAGCAAAGCAATGAACTGGGAGTGGGGAGACCTGGGTTCTCTACTGCCATGAAGCTCACCGGATTGTTAGGAAGCTCACAGGGTTGTTAGGAAGATAAAATGAGAAGGGAAGGGCAACATACATGATTCTGAGCTCCTAGGAGGAAGGGAGGGATAAAAATGAGATAAATTATTCTCACCTACACCAATTTGGCATCACAGTGGCAGAAACTGCACTAAAAATCAAAACACCCCTGATGTGAATGTTGCCCTTGCCCAGAATTCACTAGATGGTCTTCAACATACTACTTTCTTTCAGCCTGAGCACTGACTCCTCACTGTAACATGGGAATAATAATACTTTCTTACAAAACAGTTAGGTAACAAGATAATGTATGTTAATGTTCTAAAGAGCTATAATAATAATACTTCAGCATTACATGCAGAAATTCCCTATATTTATTCCACCAGCTCCTTCACTGAGGCTCTGCTGACAGTCTGTTGCTAACCCGGGCCTATCTGACACCACCTTACTACTACCTACTGAACATCTATCTGGTCCTGGTGTACTAGCCGCTGTATAGAATACAACACTTTTCCTCTCAAAGTGTTTACAATTTGTTTCTGTGTTAGGGGTTCCAAGACATTAGATACTTAGGAAAAGGGGGGGGGGTGACTGGAGGAAGGAAGACATGCAGCTTGACAAATTAACAGATGTACAGTAGGTCAGGTAGTAACAAGCTTGTATATAATAATAAGACTAAGGTGATTCAGGAAAGGCTTTGTTAAAAAAAAAAGGGTCTTCTTGGCTCAGTGTGTGCAGGCAGCTACATCACCTTGAGTTGTTACAACACAGTAAGGACTACCTGAAGATGTCAATGTAACAGAACTGCAAACAGCCACTTTTTCTTGGACAACTGTGGCAACAACTTCCCCAACTGAACTGCCATTCTCCCAGCCCAAGAAGTAGTGAAACCTTAATGCTAGAAGGCTTGCACCCTTCATGCCCTGGTTCCAAACTTTTCAGTGCCCAACAAGAGAAACAAAACCAAAACTCTACCATACAATGACTCCAGACAGATAAGGGACATTTATTGCTTGCACAATGAGAAAAAAGGCACCTTCAGACACATCTGTCAGTTGTGGAGTGGTTGCTCTGGAGACAGTAAAGCCTCCGCTCTCCAGGATGGACGCTTCCTCGTCTGAAAGCTCAGAGTCTGTAATTGCCAGTGCCAGCGCTGTCTTCTTCACATCTACCTGCATGAAGGAGAGAGACAGTGAGGTTATTCTTCCAAGACTTACTTGGCTCACTGGTACTTGTGGCTAAAAATGTCAAGTTCAAACAAGAAGAAAAAGCACTCCTGAACGGTAACTTGCCAAAGCCTACCCAAACAACACAGTGAGACTACACATGTAAAAGATTTTCTGCTTACTATGTTTTTGTAAAAACAGCACCACAGTGGCTGGGGGCGGTATTCCACTGAAGCAGGGTAGAATAAAGATGAAGAGGGCAATGTCACCTATGAGTCCAAATTGCAGCTATCCACTTCAATTCAGAGAATCTGTATTTCTGGTATCGAGTATGGAGGATTACATCAACGTTATCCATCTCAAGAGGAAAAAGATTTGTTTGAACCAGTTTTATCTTAAATTTCAAACGGGGAGATACACTTTAAAAACCCAGCTTCTTACTGGATATAAAACACATATATGAATCATCAAAAGGAAGCCTTATTTATGGTTGGTGCCACAGAGATTGTCCAAAGAAACATGACCTGTTGTGGAAGACTTAATAGCTTTCGAGGGGTGCTCATCTTTCTGAGATTTAAAATTGTACCGAGCCTGTGTTTTTCTGGTCCAAAGCATCTAAAAAAACCCTCCCTCTTTCCAACAGAGTAGGAATTGAGTCCTGGCCTCTTCTTCCAATTCCCGGGGAAAACACACTCCTTAGGTGGGTTATACATCCAAACAACACTGGTAACTCAGGGGAGAGCAATATTCTTCCTAAGTCATCCTGGTCACTCTGTCCTTCCAGAATATGAAAACCTGGAACTCAAATTTGACTCTCCAGGTTTGTTAGGAAAAAGTAGCCACAGCAACATAGTCCCTCTGCAAAGCCAGCACACACCTGGCCCTGCAAGCAAGCCCTTCACCTTGGGATCACCTGGGGGGAAGACATAGTTCATGGGACTGAAGCCCCAGTTCATCATGTACTCCTTCTGTTGGCCTTACCACCGGGGAATAACCGGACAATTCTGCTTCACTCTCACTTTCTGTCTCTGCCATCGGCTCACTGCCAGCTTCTGGCTCGTGCTTTCCTTGACGCTCTGCAAAAGGAAAAAGAAGAAATGCTTTAAGGGGCAACAATGGAGCTAGCCCACGGGAGAGAGTGCAGGGGGAAGGGTTTAACAGAAGATCCCTGCGGCCTGCACTATTTGATGGCAACTGTCTCAGGTGCATCCCAGGGTCCACCCATCCCCCTCACCACCAAGCCCTCTTTATGACATTCTTACTTGCCAGGTTCCTCTATGCAACTTATCAAAAATAAGGCATTTCAGGTAGGAGGAAGCCACCATCTTACTTTTCTTTTCATGTTTAAGATGCAAAGTCTCCACCTTCATGCTGTAGTCCAGTTTCATCAGGATGGGCTCCAAACGCGTGTACATTCTCTGAATAAGCTCATGATACACTACCAGTGGCCATGACAAGATGCTGAGCACTGGAGATATGGAAAAACCCCAGGGAAAGTTAGGTAGATATAGTTCCTGTCCTGTGGCAAAAGGCAGTCAGTGCAGTCTTTAGTTTCAAGGCTGCATCAGCACACAAAGAGGTTCCCACTGCCCAGCCCTCCAGCTACTTATTAGCTGTTGCCCCACCCAAATTGTCAAACAGCATTCTGGAAATGGCAGCAACCAAAAACACTCATCAGCCTGGTCAGCCTAAAGTTCACCCAGAATTTGTTTGCAACAGGCATGAATGTGTCAGGCGGCTCATGCCCACCCACCCTTACTCTTCGCCCCTTCTACAGTATGGCAAGACTGAAGAAAAATCATTAGCTAGTTCTAGTTAGCCATGCAAGAGCCTTAAATAGAGGTTAGTATGTTTCCCAATAACTTGCATTCTTAAGCACAGTTTAGCACTTGTTTTAAAGCTTTAACTCCTTCACTACCAAATTCAAAGCAGGGTTGCACAGCACTAGGGAAGAGGACGAACCAGAAAAATGCAGTTCATGGCCGAACCACAAATTGAACTGGGAGGTTCATCTGTGAACCAAACCAGTTTGTGGCCCCAGAAACCCTGTCGACAGGGACCACAGTCCCTTTAAATGGGGTGTGCAAAAAGCCTGAAAAACAGCTGAGCGGTGGGGAGCAACCTACTCCCCGCCACTTTAAAGGGACTGCACAAGACAGCCCCAAACTGCTGAGTGGCAGGAGCTAGCTGCTCCCCACTGCTCAGCTGTTTTTGCAACTTTCACAGGGAACAGAAAGCAGGGGTTTAAAGGGACTCAGAGTCCACTTAAACCCTTGCTTTCTGCTCTGTCCACGAACCTCCATGAACTGCTTTAAAATTTCATAATGGTAGACCCATCACAAACTTCAGTTAGCAAACCATGAACAGGGCAAAATTCATGACAAATTTTGCTTCATGGTTTGGTTCGTGCTCACCCCTACACAGCACCACTTATACATTTATGGATATGTGTGCCATTTCACAGAGAAGCAAATGGGAATTTCATTACACGCTTTTATTTATTTTATACAAATCTGATATGGAAGATTCTTGGACACAATCCTAGCAGCATATAAAAGAACTTTGTTAAATCAAACATCTAGTTTCCAGGGACACAAAAGGTCCAGTGATACTCACAGACAATGTAGGAGATCATGATTCCTGGAACATAATGTCCTACCATAGCCAAGATTAAGCATCCTGAGCAGACCCAGGCACAGAACTGGAAGAATAAGGCAAGAGGGACAGAAGAAATGCGCTGTGAGATGAAGCATTCTTAGGACACTTAATGCAGCAAACTCTCCACAATGGTTTACATTGGAAATGTCTTCAAACACTAGAACTGATGTCCATTTAAACAACAACTGTGCATTAATCCCCACAGTTACTTTAAATGCTTTAAAGGTATACTGCACCCAAGTGGTTGACTACTTTACAGTGTGATGCAGCTGGGGAACAGAAAAACAGGACTGAAGCCTCAAGAAAGATAATTAAAATTAAGAAGAAAAGAGGGATGAGAGAGAGGAAACAGCACACTACCTGCCCAGAAGTAACTGACAAGTGGGTAACTCCAAATCTGAAATAGTGCAATTGACAGTTGTCTCATGCAGATCTCAGTGTTTAGAAAGGCATATTCTCCAAGATGATTGTCAACAGAAGTGAAGGAAGTTTGCCTATGGCAGGTAAAGAGCACTAAAAACTTTGCATACCTTCTAAAAAGGCTAATATACATTAGGTAAAGCACCGCTCATTCCTCCAAAGGCAGGCTGTAATCAGACTACAGAGAGGACGGTTCGCACACTATGCTCAAGTATGCATCAGATTCTACAGCAAAGAAACTCCAAATAAGGATGGAAGTACAAGTCATACTAGACCTGGCTGCTGCCATAACAGTGGGTCTGCTCTATCTGTTCCAGAAGCTTTCCCCAAGAACATATTCCCACAGTATTACAAGAATCACAGCCATACATCAAGCTTACTATCTGAAGTGCTGCCTTTGCACTGCATGTAAACGTATGTGTGGAATACATGTTTTTTCTTCACACAGAAGTGGTAAAAATCACCAAGTGTAAAGAACCCTTAATGCAAAGGTGTCAAACTCACTGTCAGGCTCCCTGTGCATTTTACAGCTTGCCTGCCATTGAGAAAGGAAGTTCCTCTCTCTCTCTCTTTGATGTGCCAGAGACTTGTCACCTTAATGGGGCCAAATGCCCTGACTTCTCAAATGTCTGTTGTTCTGTTTTTCTTGCTATGTAAACGCTACATCCCCCACAGGTATGGGGGGGGGGGTAGGCAACTGTTAGTTTGGCGGGAGGGATGCTCTGGGAGAGGTATGTGCTTAGTGGGGAGGCAGTTGACTGTTAATTCTGGTGGGCAAATACTGTGGGGTGATTGGGCCCTGATCTTTAGTGCCTTTACACTATATCTGTATTCTTTGTGCGTTCAACTTGAGTCCTAACAATAGCTCATGTCCAGTATGGTATTTATCAAAGTCTCAATAAAGTTAGCTTTCTTCGAAGTGACTGGTGTTAAGAACCGTTTTAACCAGGATCCTGACAAATTGTTAGGACTCCCCTTTTCCCTTCTCAGCCTCCTGCACCACAACCATGATGAGCGAAGAGGACGGGGAAGTTCCTACAACTGCGGTGGATGGCGCTGTGCCTGAGCAAAGGACCACGGCAGCAGTCCCGGGAGCAACAGCAGAGTGAAAAGGAGCAGAAAGCGGGGTGCGGACCTGAGACTCCTGGGTGCCGCTCCCCACTTGGGCTGAGCCCACCTGGGTGGTGACTCCGGACCTGAGATTCGAGAGATTTGCGTACGGTGGCACCCCGAAGGCACTACAGACACTCATCCCAGGAGGACCCGGAGCACATCCAGTCAGTGATGGCACTGAAGTTGAGCATCTCCACAGAGAGTTCAGAGATGAGGGTGAAGAGATCAGGCGAGAGATGCAAAACATGATGCTAGAATTACCAGGCATCATTATGGATGTCATCCAGCAAGAGTTCTGGAATCACAAACGGACCGAGGATGGAGCTAGGAGGGCGCTGCCAGCCCCTCCGCAGGTACCCCCACCTCCTTCCCCAGCACCCCCGGTCATCCCTACTGGCCTGGCCAGGCCGATCATGCCACCTGCAACCCCGGCGACTCCAGAGCGGCCGCGCAATGCCCTGGAAGCTACGTTCGACGGCACCCTGGAGAAGCTGGCGTTTTTTCTGCTGCAGGTGCGCAAGTTCTGACACTCATTTGTTACAAGGGCCGGATCGGATATAAATGTGACTTTGTTGGGCCGGGCCTTGTGTGCCATAGAACTTAATGCCAGGTACCAGAGATATAAACTTTGTAAAGGACCCAGGCAAACCCAAATAACAACATTGTTTTTCACTCAAAATCAAGACATGCTTAAAACATTAAAACTCTTACAGTATTTCCTTACAGTATCTCCCTGCTGCTCACTCTCCTACTTCCACTGCTTGTTAAACATTAGCATTGGGACAGTATACAGGGACATAACGCACATCCTTTGTCATCTGGCAAGAAAGGTAATCAGTTGTTCGTGGGCCAGATAAGAGCCCTGGATGGGCCGGTACCAGCCCAGAGGCTGTATGCTCGACACCCTTGCCTTAATGCTTATGGTAAGCAGGCATCATTTCCTGCAGGAGCGCACAGGAGCAGAGCTCCGGCAGTAAAGAGCCCAGGGGGCGGGCACATGCAACAAGCCCCACCCCCTGCTCCCAGCAGCCCTCAGTCAGAGCAAGAAGCAGCCAGGTAAGTTGCAGAGCTCCCCCTGGCTCCTGGTCCAAAACAGTCCAGTGGCACCTTTAAGACCAAGTTTTATTCAGGTACAAGCTCTCCCTCCTCTGCGAGGGCAGATCTGCACGTTCCCCGCCCCCCCAACAGCTAGGAATCCAAAACAGTCCCGTGGAGCCTGAGAGGTGGGTGTTGCCTTTGACACATGTCCGGTGATGTCAGGGGGTGTGGCATATGCAAATAAGTTATGCTAATGAACTCCTGCACCTCTTTTTCTATGAAATGACCCCTGACGGTAAGTACATATTATCTAACTCTTTATTTTGTGCCACACCCCCAAAAGTGAACACAGGAAATATGGTCCCTGAGTAGTCACACTCTTTTCCTGTTTGAAGCCCTTTAGATTTCCAGCATACCTTGGCAGGATTTTGCCTCTTGTACTGTAACAGCTCCTGCAGGTACAGCCTGAATGTAATCCAGCTCTCAGCCAGGCAATGACAGAGCTCTGGGACACTCAGCAAGTGAGGTTGTGCTCCTGCTATCTCGCTGTAACTATGGAAACAAAAAACAGTGTTAATGGAACATGCTCAGAAGGGGCCCTGCTATACCAGGGTTAGAAAGGCTATAAGCAAAGAGACCAGAGACCAGTGTTCCCTCTAAGCTGAGTTAGTGTGAGCTAGCTCACAGTTTCTTAGCCTCCGGCTCACACATTTTTGTCTTAGGAAGGAGGGCTCTAGAGCAAACTAATTGATGCAGTAGCCAAATCACTTGCTCACAACTTTAATGTCAATAGCTCACAAAGTAGAATTTTTGCTCAGAAGACTCCACAGCTTAGAGGGAGCATTGAAAGATCCTCCATCTCCATAACATGCAGAGGATTCACAGAGCGATATCTAAGCAGCAATGCGTTATTTCATTGCTGCATTGCACTCTACCTTTGTAATCCACTTTCTGCATCATGGTGTGCCATGCCTTAGACAGGGTTCTTTTTTATTTGTCTGCATTAATTCTGTGGTCCTAGTTCCACTGCATTCTGTATTGGGTGTCTTATGCTTTCTGACATTTTTTTAAATATCTGGAAATCCACCTTGAGTCTCAGCAAAAAGGTGAACTATAAATTAAGTACAATTTTAAAAATATTATGTAGAAGTGCTATGCCCATGCTCCAGCTGATGACACTGTATTCTTTCCTTGGCTCTTAAGTCTGGGATATATATTTATGGTTAAACAGGTAATTCACCACATACCCAGCAGGAACTAATACTAGCATTTTAGAGGCTGAAAACAGAGCTTTGTTTGCCAGTTGACATGGGGCCATAATGAAGGAGCTCCTTGAGCCACAGCTTCTGGAGGATGAATTCCAAAAACAACCTTCCAGGTTACCGTCAGATCAAAGAGCCTCCATGGTGTGGTGGTTACAGAGTGGGACTAGGATCCGAGAGGCCCAAGTCTGAATCCCCATTCTCCCGTAAAGCTTGCTCGTGGGCCTTGCGCCAGTCATTCTGTCAGCATGGTCTACCTCACAGGGTTTTTGTCGTGTGGATAAAATGGAGGAGGGGTACATGATGGCGTAAGCCGGGGGTTTCTTTGCCCCCACTGGGAAGTAATGCATGGTATAAATATCTACAATATCAAAGTACTGGGCAACTCCAGGGGAGGTCAGGGGAACAAGGTGGCAGGAGAGATCTGCTCCCCACACTGTGGCCGGATCAAGCCTACCTGCCTCTTCCGGGCTCCTCCAAGGGCTGAGCTGCAGGAGAAAAAGGGAGATCATAATTCAGCCGACCGATGAATGAAAACATGGTAGTTTTAATGCTGTGTATTGCTAAAAGTTCCCTGCTTCAGCAGTCTGAGCCGGCAATTGTTCTGTGCGCACACAGCAGAAAGAGAAACAGAATCCTGGTTTTGTGGCTGTATATGGCACGAGGGCTGGGGGAAAAGGAGGGCTGTTCTTTGAGAAACGTCTGAGGTATCGCCCCAGTGTCAAGAAAAGCCCACACAGTCACGTCCTGTCGGCCACAGAAGAGCTATATCAGTGTACGTTAAATAGGAGTTTCAATACTTTCAGACGGTTCCCAAATAGAGCAAAGCCCAATCTGGCTGATGCTCAGCTGTCTCCTTGCTCTGGCCCAGGAGGGCCACATGCTCAGTGCCAAGGCAAAATCTTCACTGGCTTTTCCATAAGCAATTGACAAGCAGTGAGGTGCTAGCAAATCCACAAGAAAAAGCAGGGCTTTGGGCGGGGGGCATTTTTGATACATTTGTTTGAGTTTGTTTTTTGAAGTCATGTCTCCAGTTCTCATAGCAGACACCTTTTCACCTCACACCTAAAGTGAGAATTCAGAGCTCTTCAGATCTGATTATCTAATGCTGCTAACGGGCTATGTATGACATAGCGAACGTTTTATTGGCTGTACACAGTACCTATGGACTACAGGGCAAAACAATGAATGATCTCCCCTTGGCTACAGACACAGAGCCCGACAGGCTGATAAATAGTGCAGTGGAGCAGTGAACAGACCCAAATTCCAGGCAATAAGGCCTAGCACAGGAAGCCAACACCAACCTCTCTCTACCAACATGAACTATGGTGGGCATTCAGGAATCTCAGCAACCACTGCCCACGCAAGGAACACAACTCTGAGGTCATTGTGACAATACAAAAAGCTAAAACTGTTCATGTAGCAGCCCGGCTATGATGGCCATTTGCTGCACCAGTAACTCATTGACTCAATGCTTCCCTGGAGTAAAGGGTGTTGTATTATGCTCTGGGACATCAGGAGTACAACTGTCTTGCACCAGCCTGTTTTGTACTACCTGATGCACTAACAAGGAAGCGAATGAAACCAAAGTCTTCCGGCTCTGCAACTTTGGCAATGGCTCTGTCTTAAGGACCTGTAAGATCCCAAAGAAACTTCATTACTTTAGCAAAGCTGTAATAGTAAAGTAATCAACTTTGATTCCAAGGTGAAAGCTGTGATCTCTAGGTAAATCTACAACCAGCACGTTTAACATACCCTGCAGTATTGCAGAGCTGAGCTCTCTTTCACAGACTGGAAGAGGAAACTCAGCAGGATAAGTAAGCAAAGCCCAGCAAGATAATGCAAGCATTCACCAAAAATAAACACTCGTTTGGCCCCTTCGGACACAAAGAGGTGACCTTTCCTACTAGTTTAAGGTGACTCATGCAGGTTACATCGCAGAATAGGACTAGAATCTAACCCAGATGGTGAAGTTAAGAATGCAACAAAGATTTTAGCTTAGTTTCGGAGCAGCCCAGTAGTCAGTCCCTCTGTTGATTTTACATTTTTAATAAGATAAGAGGGTCGTTTTATTTAGCAGGTCTGTTAGTGGAGTTTGGAGAAAGACCTTGTACTAAATTCTCAGAGAAGTCCAGCACACCATCCTCAGGCCCACTTTGGCTGGCCACTTGTTTCGTGTTTTGCAACATCACTGTAACCCTGTTTACAACTGACAACTAGATAAAGCATCCTTGAGTCAGGTAACTGTTGGCATGAATTCAAGGCCACTTGATCATATCAGGGACACAGCTGGTCTAAAATGGAGGCCCTTTAATGCAGGCAGGCTAAAGCAAAGGTTTATTGTGAAGAACAGAAGTTGGTGCTTTGCATTGTTCTGTGACACATGGAAAATACAATCCCTGTGACTGCAGCCAAAAGTGTAGCTGGCAGTGGTCTCATTGGCTGAGGAGGAGGAGACGGAGCAAACAGAGCGCACCTAGAGGACTGCCAGTAAGAGATCAGGTTATTTAGGCTGCGGTGTTTCCTAAGCACTGCTTGACACAAGACATCTTATGTCTCTTCCCTTTCAGGTCATTCTCAGACAAAATAGTGTTCAGGGTGTCACAGCCATGCATGCCCACAATGCCAAGAAATCAAGTAAGATCGTGTGATCACCTTCTTCCTTGCACAATTGATTATCAGTAACACCTCACTGTGTTGCATCATATACACAGTTGAAAGTTTCGCCTCAGCTTGCAATCCCACCAGCTTCTTACAGTCAGTCCCCTGCCATGACTGTCTGGGCCTCAACAAATACCCATGGACTTCATTAGCAACTGTCCTATGACAGCTGTTACAGCTGGCAACATACAGCCTCTGCATGATGAGCTCACCAGAAGCATATTTTGTGGAGGATACAAAAGGGATGGGGCAATAGGCCTAGATTATAGAGCTGCTCAGTTCTCAGATGTTCATAATAGCAGCCCTTCAATTAGTCCAACAGTTTTTGTTGTCCTTATAAATGATAAGTGTGCATGCACACGAAAGCTCACACCTTGAATAAACCTTTGTGGGTCTTAAAGGTGCCACTGGACTCTAAATTTGTTCTATAAACCAAATGTTATTCTTTGTAAAGAAGAAGCTTCTTTACTTCACCTTGCTTCAGTCACACAAGGTTTTCCACTCAACTGTCTTCAACTTGTATAAGCCAGCTCTAATATACCATCTTGTGCACCAACAGACTAGTTCTTTAATATCATCCTTCAAGTCACAAGACTGTGCCAAAATTAAGAACTCGTGGAATGGACATAGAAGTTATGCCTAGTTTCCATTGCCTCTGCGTGTAGGATCTGATAGTGCAGGTTTGCACAGAGTATGTACTACAGAAGCAAAGATTAACTGAGTGCCTCTCGGACAGAGTATGCTGGTTCTCAGCACTTTCCCCCATGAACTGGCCATGGCAATGCAAACCAACAGAGACCCACGGGTCCTGTTTAATTAAAATACCCCCCAGAGTGCATTGCGCTCTGGGGAGAAGAACCTACTGGTGATCCCTGGCCCGAAAAACCAGAGCCAGGTCTTTTCCAGCCCCGGCCCCAACCTGGTGGAACTCTCTGCCGAGTGACATCCAGGGGCTCTCCAGGACCTAGTTCAGTTCCGCGGGGCCCATAAGGCGGGGATGTTTCGTTCAGGCTTACAGTTGAGGACAGCAACAGTTTTCATTTAGTCCGGCTCCTCCTTTGCTTCTCCCCTCACAGGGAAGGATACTAATCACTGCAAGCGCCATCTGAAATTGTTTGCACTGTTTATTGTTTTAGGTGCTTTAATTGATTTACAAACGTATTTCTTGTTGTTCATCACCCTGAGCCTTGTGCGAGGGGGACGCCAGTCTAAAAATAAAATCAAAATCAAATTTATAAATAAATAAATAGGGACACTTTTGCCTACAAACCATCTTAAGGAGCCAATAGCTGTTCACCCCGTCAACAGTTCCACACCAACCAAATGTGGCACTTCCTAGGTAGGGATGGGTATGCCATTTTTTTGTAACTGCCCAATGGCTTGATTAGCAGAAGTAGGCAGGAAGTTGCAGACTGTGCTAGCAACAGCATGAGAACCAACAAGAATAGTTCTTGCTCAGAACTACAATACTTCCCTTACTTGCACAATGATCGGTACTCTCACTTACCTGAGAAGTCCAACAAGAAATGAGGCTTCCATCTTTCCAGCAGCAGAAAGCCAATAAGGGCAACACTGAGGAGGAATAGGGGACGCAGTGATGTAGAAGAAAATAACCTGGAATATCATAGGGATAGAGGTCCGCGTTAGCTGGAGAGTACTGGCAAGGGGTGGGCCGCGGTGGCTCAGAGGGGAAGACACTGAGCTGTAGACTGGAAGGTCTGTAGTTCGGCAGTTTGAGACCCTAGTGCTGCGTGATGGAGTGAGCTCCCATCTCTGGCCCCAGCTCCTGCCAACCTAGCAGTTCGAAAGCAAGAAATTGCAAGTAGATAAGTAGGCACTGCTTTGGTGGGAAGGTAACAGCGTTCTGTGTGCCTTGGCGTTTAGCCATGAAGGCCACATGACCACAGAAACGTCTTTGGACAACGCTGGCTTGGAAACGGAAATGAGCACTGCCCCCTAGAGTCGGATTCAACTAGCTTTTGAGCAAGGGAAGCCTTTACCTTTACTTACTGGCAAGGGACTGTTACTCACTCCAACATGTACTTTATTTTTTAAATAGGGACAAATCTTTCTAGCAGTGTCATATTGGCACCTATAGTATTGGAACTCTCTTTTGTTAGGTATTAATAATCAGAAACCGACACCGCAGCAGGATGACCAAAGAGGGGACAACAACCCTCCATCCAAAAGTATACTGAGCATTCCATCCTTATTATAGATTTGAGTTTCTAAAACCGTACCCTTTGAACATGTACTACTAATCCATGTATGGCTCCAGCATCTGAATCTGCTTTGCTGATAGTTAGTTCATTGTCTGCAAGAGTAAACAGGATGTTTTCTCTTTCCAATATAACTGCTCGATTCTACCACTTAGATTCATTAAATGTTGCTGTGTCTACAACAGCAGGGTAAACAGAAAGGAAGGAATGTGCTAACACCACAATTCTCCACAACTGCAGGCTTAACAAAGGCTCAACTGGCAGAGGGCAACAGGAAATTTCTTTGGTTTACTTCTAGCCTGGTGCATTGCCAGAGTTACTAAGCTACCAAACCCAAACTGGAAATGTGCATGAACCATGTGGCTCCTATGCAGTGAGTACACAATATCTAACTAGAAACACTCCTGGGCGAACCTCCAATTATCTGCAGCTGCTAGTAGCAGCTCTCGTTTATCACAGGCCAACTCCTGTAGGCGCACGTGATACCACCCATGCATCAGGGAGAGGTCTGTTTATACTTTGAGAGTAAAGCAGGAAGGTTACTTGAGGCTACACCAAGACCACTTTAAGTTTTACATCCTACTACACTCATCTTTAGATCAATCACAATTAATGCAGGACTCATCTTCCTCATTGTAAAGATCTCTTTGGTCCACATGGGACTATTCACTCCATGGCTGCAAAGGAGATACAGATGGCACCATTTGATGTAAGTCTGCCACTGGGCTGAAAGATTTCAAGCAGGGGACACTACTAACTTCCCATGCAGTTTAGTCTACTTCCTTCTGATGAATGGATGTGTGTGTGTGAGAGAGTGAGTGATGGGGGGGGGGGCTCTGCATTACAGCACATGCTTTGTATGCAGAATATCCTGTGTTCAATCATTGGCATCTCTTTCCAACATACTGTTGGACCCTGCTACATAGATTTGTTAAATGCTGCCACGTCTACAACAGCAGGGTAAGCAGAAATGAAGGAATGTGCTTGCACCACAACTCTTCACAACTACAGGCTTAAAAGGATTTCAGGGAGCAGGCCTCAGAAAGATCTCCACCTGCAATCTTGGAGAACTGCTGCCAGTCACAACCCATAGCTAGTGACATGGATTTTCCAGGAAAATTTCTGGGGTTTTCTGGAAAATCACCCAATTGAAATTTAAATAAATAATTTAAATGTTATTTAAAAAAGGCAAATATACCATGGACAAACCTGGACCATGTACAAGCACGGGGGTTTGTCCAATATCCCACATTTGGTCTATCTAACCTGACTGATTTGCAGAACAACAGCCCTGACAACCATAGATAAACAGAGACTATATTTACATATTTGGGGCAGAAAAGATTGCACAGAAAATATAGCACTGGATAATTTCCTGGAACATTTTCTGCCCCACTGTACTGGGCTAGATGGACCAACAGTCTAAATCGGTATAAGGAAGCTTTATGTGATGAATGCGTCTTCACATTAACAAGGGGTGGGGTGAACATGATCTTTTTCACATATTTTGGGTGAATGTCAATGATCCCATAAGGAAGACTTTACATTGCTCCTGACCTACAGTCTGTTCTTGAGCTATAAGGATACCTTTAGGCATTATCCTGAAACAGTTTACACAAGAGGCTGAAAACTGTGCTGAAGTGTAATGGAAGCACATGCAACACTAGACCTGTCTGCAACCAAAATACTTGAATAAACTCATCGTTCTCTTCATGTGCTTTCAGATTTCTTGAATCATCTTGCAAGGACTTAGTATTCAACCACGTCCATCACAACTACACCAAGAAGCAAAGATGCTCACAATGTATTCTACTGTTGCGTTTAGGACTCATTTTTACAGACCCTTCTGATTCCAAACTTAATAGAGCTGCTGGGCCTCAGAACTCAATGTTTACAGTGATCTGCTCTAATTTGAAAATCTATAAAATAAGGTTTCACATGCCCTCTGCACTTTTATAACTTTTCAACAGGAGTGTCGGGTTCGCTAGGAAGAAAGCAATTACAGCAAATATGCACTATAATTGTTCACTTCCAAGAAACCCTTGCCTAGAGTTGCAACTTTCAATAATAAATATATACCGATTGTCAGAAAATCTAGCAGCTCTTTTCTGATGCTTGAAAAGGAAGAACACAAATGACATAAAACCCATTTCTGTTGCACCTGCAGCTATGCAGCAAGTCATCCATACAATCCTACTCTACACACTAGGTGTATAAAGTCTAACTATATCAAGCAGCAATTTGATTCAGCCTTTATAACCAAAGAGTGTGCCATCCATCATGGTGTCCATAGCTGCAAGAGAGCTACTTTTACCAGACTGGTTCCCAACTTGCTGTCTGAATCATGCCTGCTGATTATGTATGCTTACTCAGTATGTTCTGCATGGCCTTTCCTGTTCTAGGTTGCCAATGAGAAGATGTCTCTACACAAGGTGTGTTAACACAGTCCTTGACTATTCAGAGAGCTCAAGCTAGCTGCATCATAATCAAAGAGTCTCATTATTGCTCTTTTCTATATCAGATTGTCTAACTGCTTTATGTAACCATGAATAAGATGTTTCCCCATTCTCAAATGCTCACTCCGGTGTAACAACTTTCTTGTTTTACACACACTGCATGGTTTCACTTGCAATAGTGCCTTACTTCCAGGGCCTTCCATCACCTCTTACCTGCCACTACTACATTCAACTTCAAATGCCCCAGCTTCTTCACCAGGTGAGAAATAGATTTGATCCAGCCACCTTTTCTGCTGCTGAAAAGGGAGGAGGGATCTTCAGACTATGAAAAAAAGGCCGTGCTGGGGATTTTTTCCATCTTGGAAAAAAGTCTTGTGGGATAGGGGTTGTAGTAAGGAGAACTGGGTGACACTGAGCAAAAAAGACTGGATCCAATCCCATCATGCCTCCACCTGCACAAGACATCACTCATTTTCTACAATACCCCCAAATCCAAGACATATTTCCAAAAATCTCACCTTGATGCATTCCCTACCCATCCAAATATTTACATAATGTGTTGCACTACCCCATTCACTAATTTCAATGAATTTAGATTTCAGTAACTCTGTCAGACTGTACTGCAAGACTCAGAGTGTTTGACTTTGAACAGAGAGACCTAGGTTCAAATCCTTGCTCAGACACGAAGTCCACTAGGCAGGATGGGCAAGTTATTATCACTCAAGTTTGACCATCCCTTGGAATAGTTGTGAGGACAATGGAGGGTGGCACACAACTCTTCAGGTATCCTACCCTTGTTTAATTATCAAGGGTGATAAATAAACATTAATTACAGGACTACTACTTGCTCCAAAACAAGGCATAGCCAGGTCAAGTACACAGAACAGATATTTCCTGTTTCAGATGCAAATGCTCCAGGGAACTTACGATTGCCAGGTCCCCCCTTTGGTGTGTGGGGCGGGAGTAGGGTCGCCAGCTCCAAGTTGGAAAACTCCTGGAGACTTGGGGGTGGAGCTGGAGGCTGGCATCCCTAAGGGCATTTGGTTCAGCAACCTTGGCCTTGTGGTGGTGGAATGAGCTCCTGGTGGAATGAGCTCCCGGAGGACATCAGGGCCCTGCGGGACCTTTTACAGTTCCACAGGGCCTGTAAAACGGAGCTCTTCTGCCAGGCTTTTGATTAGGGGCTGCCCCTGACAAATGTACCCTGAAACATCTTCTGGCCTGAGACTTTGCTGGATGCTCCTCCTATCATTGGATGTGATTTGGATTATCGCCATCACCTGTCGGCGCTCTTTGTGAATCCTTGCTGTTTTTAACTTGGTACTGTATTTATTCATTGTTTTCATCCCTGTATTGTTTACATTATTGTAACTTTGTTAGCTGCCTTGAGCCAGCCTGCCCGGCCAGGCGGGATACAAACAGAACCAATCAATCAATGAATAAATAAAATACATTGGCAGTAGCTTGGATAACAGGGCTCCTGGATCGTCTACAACCAGGGGCGGATTAAGGCTCATGGGTGCCCTAAGCACTGACCCATCTTGGTGCCCCCCCTTTCCAGTCCATTTGAGTTGTCGGCCTGTCTGACCAGATCTACAGTGCAGGACAGGTTGCGGTGGCCATACAAAAATGTATTCCTAGGATAACACCATAGACTGTGCAAACTAAACCGAGCTTTTTACAAACCTTCATTCGTTTTTCTTTTCACCCTTTCCCCAACTTTGTGGTGCCCCCTTTGGCCCTGGTGCCCTCAGCACGTGCTTCGTCTGCTTCATGGTGAACCCGCCCCTGTCTACCACACGCCTCCTCCCATCACATAAGAACCTGCTGCTGGCTAACGGAAACCACGCCAGGCGCCCACCACAAACCCCGCAGCTGGCTCCCCTTCACCACCCCCGGGGGGTGGCGCAAGACCTGGGACCGCCCCCGCCCCCCCTTC